TACCGAAGTTACCGCTCTTCTAGCAATGGAATCAGTCCCCGTATGTGAGCCAAAAGTAAAATTCAACATCCCAAATATAAAAAAATCCCGATTGCAGAACTAAGACCCAGATTGAAAGAGACACCCGTGTTTACACACAAAGAAGAAAAGATGGCTAGTTCAAAAGTCTATGCAGATCGTATGAGAACAATAAAAGAAAAGTCTAGAGGAAACTGGCCGGAGCTGACCAATGAACTACCACCCTCAGGATATCGGATACCTCCGCCCAATACGCTCATTCTAAACCTCTTCGTCTCAGTCAAACTTTTAAAATTAGAAATCCAAGACGTTACCGGAAATATTCAGTCGCTGCAAGGCTTGTGCGTCTAGATTGACACTGCAATCAACAAAAAACGAGCTACTGCTTGAAAATGACAAGTGTAAATACTGGAAAAGCTACCAAGTAAAAGCGGCTCTCGCAGTTGACGGGTTCGTAAACTATACACAGTTGCAGATGACATTTTTAAAGCAAGATTCGTGGTCGAAAACCACATATTTAAGGACACATGACATGGTTGCTGGTAGTAAGAAGAGTAAATAACTCCTACAACACCGAGAAGCTCAGTTTATTGTATGATGATGTCGAGTCCGAAGTTTGAAGCTCTGGGGCACTCGGGGTTTGCTCGTGCCCCAATGAAGCTGTGCTACAAGCACTTTGTCAAAAAGCTGCGTCCTCATTCTTTGATTTTTCAATACCATCGAAATAAAGTAACTGAAGACACAATCGAAGGGAATAAGTTGAAAAAGACTACTCAACTTTTTTAAAAGTGAAATCGAATCCCGCAAGCGTTATCACCATTGTTACGTTTTCGTCCGTCGCGCAGGCGGTCTGCGCTCCGCGCTGGGAACCATCACTCTGGTCACTGACCAGTGCATTACAAAAGTTTATTTCCACGAGCCCCAATGATATCGCCCGCAAATGGCGGCGCCGAAACAAAAGGGTGCTATCGCCTAATAACAACAAGTAACATTCGGACATCTAACTATGACAGATTCCAAAGGAATGATGACGCTGCATCAATTCTTCTTCTCTTAGTATTGCAAACTTTGGATAGTGTTACGGGTCCGCGTAGACCGCCGTAATGGCGGCGGTTCTTGAACGAGGGCGTCTAAAAACCTCTGGTTGCCTTGCCGGCTCCTAGTCCACTTGTGGTCCTCCGGGTTCTGGGTTGGAAGGCCCATCGAGTCAACCTGGCGGCCTTCCTGGGAATCCACCGGGCCGTGTCTGGAGCGAACCTGGTCCCCATGTAGACGAACCGTTCTTCCCCTAGTCTGTATGACGAAGATTCTTGAGCCCAGATTGGATGTGAACGTACCTTGTGAAAACCTGTCGGCTTTAACAATGATCTGGACCCATACTTCTGCTCCGAGGTCACCGGATTTTCCTTCTTCCTGCACATTGTCTGCAACACGGGGCATGAATGTACACGTATATCCAAGCTTGACCCAATTCGTTGCCCTAGAAGTAGGTCTCACGGGGATGTATTGCCTGGAAGGGCGTCCTGCGGTAGTTGATGAGGAATTATGCCAGCTTCGTTTCTATATCTCCCTTTTTCATATTTGCGAGGCTGTTCTTAATCGTCCCAACGGCGCGTTCCGCCAGCACGTTAGATTGGGGGTGGTATGGTGACTGCGGAGACGGCATAGATTGTTACTGTTCATGAAGTTTTCGAAGTGGTGGCTTATAAACCAGCACCCGTTGTCTGTAACTACCGTTTCTGAAAGTTCAAATTTGCTAGATATCTCTCGAAGTTGGTTTACTGTGGGTTCTGCAGTAGTGATTCGCATAATAGAACCTTCCACCCACTTCGAGTGAGATTCAATAACAATTAACAGCATTTTGCCATGAATGGGCCCCGAAAAATAAATATGCAGTACCGACCATCTTTCTTTCGTTTCTGGCCATTTCACTGGTGACCACTTGGGGGGCATTGCGGCGGCTTTTATGCACTCTTGACCGCTTCTGCTCAGTAGTTCCACCTCACCGTCAAGTCCGAGCCACCAGAACGATGACTGATCATTCCTCTTCATGGCAGCGATCCCCTGGTGTAATACATGTAGCAGCATTAGCATCTCCTTGTGGCCCTTGGTTGGGATCACGAGGCGCCGGCCCCAGTAGAGTAACACCTGGCACACAGACAACTTGAGCTTCGTGTAAAAGTACGGTAGCAAGAACGACCAACTTTCTGGCAGCACATGGGGTCAGCCGTTTTGAACATACTTCATGGTTTGTAACAACGGGACATCTGTTCTTGTCAGGTCGTTCAAACGCTGTGCGTAAATAAAGGTGTCGTCTACCTGGGTCATCGGTAACACGTATTCTGGAAGCTCTCCCCTTTGTCGCCTATGCTGGGGCATTGGCAGGCGACTCCATGCATCGCCGTTCGCATCCTGTTTTTCTGGCCGAAATCTAATACTGTAAAGAAAATCGCTCAGCAGGAAGAACCACTGTTGAACCCTCTCGGAAGCCAGCAGCGGAATTGGCCGGTGTTCTCGTAGCAGGCCTACCAATGGCTGATGATCCGTGACAAAGATAAATCTGCGGTTTAGTAGATTGCCCGGAATTCGGTGACGCCAAATACTAAAGCCAGGACCTCCTTTTCCAGCTGCGAATAATATTTCTTCCCGCTGGTGTGAGCGTTCGGGATCGAAACGTTATCGGCTCATCGATACCTTGAGCTTTGTGCGACAGCACGGCTCCCACTCTGGTGGTTGGGGCCTCAGATTGTAATCTGAAAGGCATGTTAGGGTCGAAAAATGTAGGGACCGACAACGACAGCAGGACCGCTTTTGCCCGTTTCGCGGTTTCCTCTTCCCGCGACCCCCAACGCCACTTTTGATATTTACCGAGCAGCTCGTATAGCGGTGCTAACAAGGTAGACATTTTGGGAAGAAATCGGGGGTAATATGTCAGCAGCCCCAGGAAAGAGCGCAGCTCGGTTACATTCGTGGGTTTTGGTGCCTCTCTGATGGCTTCCAATGTCTTCTCCATCGGGTGTAGGCCTTCTTCATGAATCCTATGGCCCAAGTAAGTGATTTCTGGTTTCCTGAACTGACATTTCGATCGCCGAGGCTTGACAGCCATGTCTCGGAAACGCTCCAGCACACGCCTTAAATTTTCGGTTCCTTGTTGTTCTGCCACCAGAACATCGTCTAAGTGCACCTGTACACCCTCTAGTCCTGCCAATATGCTTTATATCTTCCTTTGAAAAATCACCGGCGCCGAGGCAATTCCAAACGGCAGACGATTCAAGCAAAAACGCCCTCGGTGTGTGTTGATAACAGTCAGTTTCCTAGATCTTTCGCCTACTTCCACCTGGGTGGAGGCGTCTTGGAGATCTGATGTGCTGAATACTGACCCGCCTTGCAGTGAAGCAAACATACCCGATATATTTGTTAAAGGATATTGTTCGGTATTGCATGCTACGTTCGCCGTCGGGGTTGCCCAGTCAAAATCGGGACTGCCCACTCAGAATTACTGGCAGGTGAAGGCGCTCTCGACTTTATTACCCGATATATCTCTTCGGACCCCTTTTTGCGAAGAGCGTAACGAACTAGCCTTTCCTTTATAAATTTGGGCACCGCCGATTCTTCCTCGTGCAGGTGTACTGGTGCTCCCTTGATGGTCCCCAGTCAAGGTGCAAATAGGTCTCGGTACTCGATGAGAAGGTTTCCTACGCCGTCCGGTGGTCCTGGAACGACACTTGACACTGTTGGGTCGAGCAGGTTTAACTTTGCAATCACGTCTCGACTGCAAAGGCTTAGTCCCTTGAAATCGACAACCACCAGTGAGGCCGGTCCGATGAGACGTCTTGAATGGCCGCTCTCATGTGTAGCTCCCTGAGAACGGGTAGCTTCCCCAAGTAGCACCGGAGTCGCAGTTTGTTTTCGGACAGCGCCGGCCAACACTCCTTGTGCTGATGGGAAACCTCACGCGAAATAACACAAACGGGGGAGCCAGCGTCCACTTGCATAGTAAGGGACACAATCCCAGCAGATCTGTCTTTCGTTGAGCGCTTGAGTCTTGAATTTTTACGGGAGTGTTCCACGTACACAGAAGACAAGTCTAATTCTTCTTCGCTTTCCGCTTTGGCTACGGCTGCTACAGCTGTCTTTCGTCGACCGGGCGACGAAAGACAGCTGTAGAGAAAGACAGCTGCAAAGAAAGACAGCTGCAAAGAAGTGCCCGGGCGACCGGGCACTTCTTTGCAAACTGCTCTTGTTGGCCGCATCTGAAGCACTTCACAAACATTTGGCGGCACATCTCTCGTGAATCGGATCTGTTCCCGCTTCGCTCCCATTTGTTTTTCATCGACCGTTCAAACCTTATTTTATGATCAACCGATTTTCCCGCCATCCTGTTTAACTAAGCCTAGGTCTTCACCTCGTTCCCTTTCATTATTCTTTACCTCTCTGATGGCTAATTCGGCCGCGGTCGCCAAATCTTCAGCCTTTTGCCATGAGAGATCTCGCCTTGACAATAGCTGCCGCTAAATCATCTGAATTTGCACTCCACAAACAATACGGTGCCTTAGAATTCGGTCAATGCTGCCGCCGAAATTGCAGTTATCAACTATTTTCCGCAGTTCCACAATGAAGCTTGTACGGACTCGACTTTTATGCCGCTGATGGTTGAAGAATTTTGTAGCTCTGCGCGATTTCATTCGGCCGTTAAGCGTAGTGTTTACTAGGAATGTCTACAACTTCTTTGTACGCTTGTTCTTTTATCTTCCGTGGGGCATACAATCCTTTTAAAACATCAATCATCCCGAAGCCCAACGCAGCCGTCAACAACGCCAGTTTCCTTTTGTGTTCCGTAATCTCATTGCTCTCAATATAGGCTTCCACTGTCCTGGGATAGATCAACGCACACACAAAGCGAACGTATGAATTAAAGATTAGTCCTATTTTTCTGATCATTTTATATTTTAGTATCTGTTTAATAATACATTTCTGTGCAGGTAAATTGATACTGGACAGTATGAACACTACCGAAGATCCATGCACTGATTTCTATGCCTACGTGTGTGGAAACTGGAAAAACTCCCACCAGATTGCTGACGACAAGGATATCCTAGGACATCATCAAATCATTACTGAAAAAGCGGAGGAGGACATAAAACGTATGTTTTCCTTATAATATTCACTTCACCATCTTTAGATCACTGGGGAATTATCTGTTAAAAAGTCATAGCTATGAGGATGCTTTGTGATGACACCATTTATTGGATTTCATTTCTTTGCCACAAAATACCGATACACTACATGAAAACAAAGGTAGTGGCGGAAGTCGTGTCTTTTTATGTTCATGCGAACAATTATTATTTCAACTAGCGACATAATAATTGTACAACATACAACGTAAGAACCTACAACGGAAGACCAATTGCTGTTTTCAGGGTATCGCAGTGCTTACCCAATCGAGATATCTACCTCGGGCGCAATTCAGTTGTCTGCTTCCGCTCATCTTTAATTTTTCACTCACACTACAAACCGACATTGTGTGAATATTTATGAGTTGTGTGTGGTACAATGCAGCACCTTATGTGGTATACATGGATATGTGTTGAGGACATATACACAAACGCAAATGTACGAAATGAGTAAAAACGCCTTTCATGGAATTCTTATTTTATACCTCAGTCTAAGGTGTTCAATATTTATCTTGCATTTACGATTCAATTCTAATTAGCCCGGCTTCCAGTTTTCTTCTTCAGACTGCTAGGCGGCGTTTCGCTACCGACGCGTACCTAAATTTTAGGAAAACCTTGTCTGCCAGTAGCAGGCTTCCCGAAGAACCCGTTTTTATTCATCTTTCCAGCATTTGCTACCTTTTTCTTTTGCTAAAGCTGGTTAGCACTTCAAATTGAATAAAAGGATAATTACCAAAAAGGGTGAGGAAACCATAGAGTTACAGTGAGGGCTTACGTAGAGCCGTGAAATAAGCTGCGCTTCAGATAGCTTCCGAGTAACAACACTGTATGCATTTTCGTTGATTATTGCTGCCAGTCATCTTAAGCTATATCTTATATAATAGAATACTGTCTTTCGCACTCAAGTGGTGGTCTCCGACGGAGCAATCGATATCGCCGGAGCTTTCTGATGCCGTATCTAAAGCTTGGAAGTTTCATTTTAGAATCGAAACTGTCGCCAATTGCACCCTCTCTGCACTGTGAACCGAATTGGCGGGAGTGACAAGTAGATCGGCAAATCGGGGGTGATAATCTAAGCGTATCCTAATTGAAATAAAGTTACGTATATAACGAGCTAACGTAGAGAGAAAATGATATTGTAGGTGCGTATTTCGATTTGGTGGAATCACCATCCGGTGCACACGTTTACAAATATATGCCATGAACCGCCATTCATTCCCTGTGAAGCAATACAAAACATTATGAGGCTACCGATTTATTAAGATTGTCGATTACCACATTTCACTCAAAGTTCATGATTTCCTAAAACTAAAAAAGATGATATTGAACTAAGCATGTGTCTTTTCTTATTTAGATATTTTATTGAACGCCACGACTAAGGAAGATGAGCCGCAGAATGCAACTGATAAGGCTATTCGCGCCTATAGAGTCTGTGTCTGCGAAAGTACGTATGGTTTTTGTTTTTTTATCAAAAGGCAGTGAATTGACGATAACATTTTTGTACACTTAAATAATAAAATTTCTTGCATATTTCACAGTGCTATATTTACGCAAAAGGCTCAAGCTTGTTTTGGCCGTGTCTAACAAAAAAGAAACGTAACCTGCGTACAGGATTTTCGTACGTAGACCAAAAATTAGATGAATTTGGCAGCGGTTGTTTAGTCTGTGAAATGGAGCGGGGAATTCACGTTTTGTCGTTACAGCCTTGCAACGAATTTGCTGGGGGGGGGGGGGGGGATAAAAAACGTGTTCTACCTTAAAATGCATATAAACAGCTTTATATAGGCATATAGAAAAATAGGCAGAATATGATTATACTTTATATTTTAATAAGAGATGTGAGTAACGTAACTTATTATTTGAAAACGAATTTGAATTGATTAGAAGCCAAAACATTCAATGTCAAATCAAATGTGGATATCAAAAATCTTAATAGAGATATCCACAAAACACGAAAACGGCATATATCAGTAGAAGAAAGAAACTACAAGTTTATTATTCTGAAGAGCTCTTGCAACTAGGAGACGTTAGCGCAACTAAAAACAGTGTTATGACAACACTCAAACGACTAGCGTAAGAAATAGCTACTGATTTGTCCACGCATCCACGTGCGGAAACGCAGCGTGCTGGATGAATTGACGGCTGTTACTCAACAGTTTGAATTTTGTCACGTCTTCCGTCACTTAGTCCTGGTACCTCGCTTTACACCGTGGGGCGATGGGCTAACGGAAGCGTTGAAGATAGAGTGAGGAAGCAGGCGGAGCTGGTTTATGTTACACATTTTTGAAAAACTGGAGACGACGGGCGAAAAAAGAGAACACACAAGACGTCTCAAGCGCAGCTATTCACTGTGTGTTAAGCGCGAAACACATGTACGACGAAATCGTCCGATCCGACGTCCGACCGCGCAATACGACGGTCGGAGGCGAGGGTTTTCAACGCTCTCCGATGCTACGAAAACCCTCTCCCCCCAAGGTCCTTCCGGCAGTCCGCACGTCGGATCGGACGGTTTCGTCGTACATGTGTTTTACGCTTTACCCCCTTTTTTGCATGTCGTCTCCGGATTTTCAAAAATGTATAGCGGAAGAGGGCGGGCTCAATATCGCATATTATTTGTACTTTGATCATAATTTACCATATTAGGGACGTTGCAACCGAGAAAGCTGTCTATAGTGCACACTAATACTTACGTTGTGTGTATGTTTAGACAGCGGGAAGCTAATCAGCCCCAATGGACATCTGGTGTCTCCGCTGAAGAGCAGATATTTGGCCGGTGCAGTCCGACAGCTAGCGTGTTGTCTTTAGCGTGCATGCCACAGATACATCACTGCACGCCGGTATCATCCTCGGTCAGATCAAAAAGTGCAGGGAAGGGGACTAAGCCCAGGTATAGCATCCTCTACACTCACAAAGCCGGGCAGTTCGACGACGGAGCCACAGAGTGCCCGGTCACAGATCTGGAGCGCGAGGATTTGGTAGCAGAGAGGATTTCTTGAAGAACCTGGTATTCAGCGCACAGCTTTTGCAGTGGCGAGGACACGAAACATGGTTCTCAAACCCGACCAGAAAAAAAACCGTAATGCGAGGAACGCGAGGAGCACGAGTGGACATTTCATCGCTCGGAAGAAGTGTGTTTCGGCCTCTCGCCGCAGCGGGGCGCCCACCACCTGGCTTTCCTCTCATCCGTTGTCTGCCGCTCTACCTTTTCACTTTCGGCGGCCGCGTCACGTGTCGATCTGCCAGGCTTTGTCAGTACAGACGAGGCTATGGCCCAGGTCAACGTGTGTCCTTCCTACGTCGCGCTTGCACTCTTCGCCACCGATCCCTCGTAGTGCACAGAGCTGGCTGCAGCAGGTGCTGTAAGGACCTTGGATTTTGAAATATCAATATGCGTGGTTTCTGGGTTTTCGTCGAGCGTACCCGACAAGCCGGGAGCATGACTGCTTCCTTCGAGGAGCACATGAAATGAACTATGATATTACGGCGCGTGTCATAGGCGCCGCAGCTTCCGGCTTGAGCGGCGTCGGCGTCGGCGTACTCGCGGGTCGCATTGGGACGTTTCGCAAAATTACGTCGCACGTGATGCCACGTATGACGTCACGAGGGTAACACTTTTCCGCTAAATTTGGCGGGAAAATGTTTTGCTGAATTTTGAGGGAAATTTTCGCACTTAATTAACGGTGAAACGTTTTCGCCAAATTTGGCGGGAAATTTCCCGCTAATTTTAGCAGGGAAATTTTTCCGCCAAATTTAGCGGGATATTTTTCGAGCGGGGCACATTTTCCCGCTGAATTAAGCGGAGAATAGTTTCTGCTACCTTTAGCAGAAAAATGTTGCCGCTAAATTTAGCGGGGAATTTTTTCCGCTAAATTTAGTGCGGAACTTTTTCTGGTACTTCTAGAGGGAAACGTTTCCCGCTATTTTACAAAGTGATTCCTTAGTCTACACTGCCGTATATGCGTGCTTTGTTTAGATCCAACACGGGCCTGTAAGGACTAGTTCGTCATGTGAACTGCGTTCCTGAATAAGACCTATGTTTTGGCCTCCAGTCCTTATATTCGATGCATCGAAATATTTACGATCTCAAATGCTAGGATTGTGACAGTCGAGTCAAAATATTCGTGCAATCATTATTCGATTCGAATTCAAAACTGAAATGTGGTCACACCACTATTTTTATTTAAAATGGGGAGATATAAATCCGGTAACTAAAATTCGGATGAGCGCATCGACAACAAGGAACACAGGAGGGCGTAAAAATAAAATTTATTTTATTCGGCTTAATTGTATCGCAAACATTCTATAAAAATTAAGTTTTGTTCAAAATATATGCGTAATGGACACCATTTTTGTATATTTTATTTATTAAACAGCTGTGGACGAGAGAAAAGAACTTGAGGACCTGATGCAATTACTTAAGGAGAAAGGTCTTACCAAGTGGCCAATACTGAAAGAGGAAGCTGTGCCTTATACTAACTACAATGAGCTACTCAATAAAACAGGTTTTTCGGCTCTCATTCCTTTTGAAATAAAACGGGACGCTAAAAGAACTGATTACTATGCGATATACGTGAGTATTGAGCACCTTTTTTCCAAACCCTCCCGATGCTTCGCAACGCTTTTTACACGCGAACAATGCCGCTCAACCTCAATGCCGCATTGCAGGGTCTCAAGTTATAAAAAGCAAAACAGAATAAAGTGTTCTCAACTAACGAGTCACGTGATAGAGAATACTGAACCTCCGGAACGTGGGGGAAGGGGGTTGCCAGATCACTCTGGCGGCGCACTTGATATCCGAGAGAAGCTTTTGCTATCCCCCAACATCAAGTAAACAGCGGCAAATCGCTGCCTCATTTTAACTACGTCCCGCTGGTCGCACTATTCGCATTCGGGCTCTACCGAGTCTCGACACTTTAGAGATTTCGCGTGACCAATCCGGTGAAAATGCGGCTATTGGTTTTAAAAAAAACCAACCGACACATGCGATAGTATTGAAGAGGGTCTTCACGAAAATAGGGTTACTGTGTATTCTGCGCTTGCGGAGCAGAGCACTGCCACAATCTCTTAATTTTTACCTCACGTATTGCGGAGGAAGCGACCGTCGCTCATGCAGGAGACACTACGACCGTCACAGGAGATAGCGGTTCACCCCGCATGCGCCGTCGTGAGTCTCCCCCTGTCCCTCAAAAGTGCACGCGCGCGAGCTGCGTCGTCGCTTCCCGTGTCGTCAGCTCGTACACCGCACCCATGAAACAGCACTTGCGTTGTAAAACAAACGCCATTATACATGTCTACGTGGAACACACAATGTTCAAAGATTCAAAAGGCCTCTTGTTTGTCAGACTTCAGAGTAAAAAACTACTTTTTGCGAGCCAGGAGCGAAAAAAACGTAGGCATCGGCCTTTACCTTCAAAGTTCTATAAGGCATGCAACAGAGTATATAAAAAGCGATCTCTTAAATGTGTTTAGAAGAGAACGTATGGAGACTAGTATAGTGCATGTCACGTGACATATATATATATATATATATATATACAGGGTGTTTTTTTCAACTTACACATCTGTTTGAAAACAACCGTGAAAGCTGCACTAATGCCGCTTGTGCAGGTGGGTTATACGGCCAGGCGGGCACTATGTGGGTGGCTTATCTATGCGATAAGTCGGCTAATTAATTAAAATCCGTTAATCAACTTTTTAATTAGTGAAAATGCACATATAGTTCCAATTAGAAACTTGCTGAGTATCATCCAAAGCCACTAAATCAACCATTTTTAGATGGATATAACGACGGGGCAGCATTTTACGGCGTTGTGTAAAAACGCCTCATTCCGACACTTGTTTTGATTTCGGTTTCTTATCGGAGCGCATCACCGTGCCCGCGGTCCTGCTCCCCAATGGCTGAGATACGCAACACACGTGCGCCCTACTTTCCTCAATGCTACGAGGGAGACGAGGGGGTGGCTTCGCGCCGCGACCACTGGGGAGCAGGACCACGGTCGCAAAGATGCGCTCCGATAAGAAACCGAAATCTAGAAACGCGTCCAAATAAAGCGTTTTACAGAACACCGTAAAATGCTGCCCCGGCGTTATATCCTTCTAAAAATAGTTGATTTAGTGGTTTTCGATGATGCTCAGGTTTCTAACTGGAACTATGTGTGCATTTTCACTAATTAAAAAGTTGATTAACGAATTTTATATAATTAGTCGACTTATCGCAAAGATAAGCCACCCACATAATGTCCGCCTGGCCGTAATGTGTAGGAGTAAAAAAAAAAACACCGCGTACATATATATATATATATGTATATATATATATATATATATATGTATATATATATAAATATATATATATATATATATATATATATATATATATATATATATATATATATATATATATATATATATATATATATATATATATATATATATATATATATATACACGCCAACGTTCTCGTGGCGCAATTAGAAAGTCAGTTCCTTCCAGATCGTCCTATCGATCGACACTTGTACAATCGCATTTTCTTGGCTACATTTTATTCTAGAGAGGCTGACTACAATAATGTTATCCAATCAATCATTCAGTTTTGGTGTTTACGAGTTGGAAGCCGTCCGTCACTTGAAAGCTGGCGAATATTGGTGTATACAGCACAGCTGCGTATGGTCATAGCTTGGCTACGGTCACCGATCTGCCGCCGTTGAGTATGAGATTAAAGCTTAGCTAACTTAACTCTGGCGGTCTGGCACACACATTAAAGCTCGGGCTTATTATGCTGAGCTAGAAGAGGAGGTGTCTTGGACGAGAACGGTCCCGCGATTCAATTCACAGAAAAAACAATCTAGGGAGGAGGGGGGGGGGGGGGCGGGGTCAGCAACGCCACCCTGCACTTGTAGGGTAAGAAAAAAAAGGTACTGTAGACGCTTCCTTCGCCAAACGTCTAAGCGAGCGAAAGTGTGCGAGCAAGGATGGAAGAGTGAGAGTAGTTTGAAATTGAGGGCGCAACGCCGTGTTTACTCAGTTTGCATTGTTTAAACTCGTTTGCGAACAAGTTGATATTTGGAGAGTTGCAAGTCTATTATTACTTAAGTCCAGTGCTTTTATACGCATAAGAATATGCAGCAAATAAACCTAATACGCGTTTACACCACGTCAGTACACGCGTTCAGTGCTCCGAGTATTTACATTTGTTAATTATATTATTCGTTATTTCTCAAGCTCAACCGAGTTGAGTTTAGATGGCTTAAACAAACCCAGCTGATTTACCAAACTGAAGACGCCAACAAAAAAGTAGTACAGGCCTACAAAGAGCTTATTAAGAAGTCTGTTAAGCTCTTCAGAAACGACACAGATTGCAAGGAGAATGAGACAGAGGAAGTTTCTGAAGAAATTTTGCAGTTCGAGGCCACACTCGCAAAGGTAATATTTTTACTGTTCCTCTATTGGATTGAAAATATATTATTTTTTGAATTTTTGTCTAGTGTCACCTCAGGTGATATTTTTTTCTGTGTTTTGCAACGGGCCCTCCGTTTTTTTTATTTCCCGGGAGCAAGAGTAATCATAATATTTAGACCAATTCTACGCTTTTTATATTTGCACCAGAGTACGAGGTATCGCATAAAGCGCGCACGTTTATTCATTTGGCGAATACTGAGACACAACACAGTTTCACAAGCATCAAATTTCAGGCCGGTTCTACCGAATGCAAATTTATGAGGCTGTCGATACTTTCTACAGCACTTCAAATCCTTGCCTAGGTTAAGTGCTTGTATATCTCTCATGGAGCTTTGGGGGTAACGCAAAATTTATCATAGACATAATTCAGTTAAAATGGAAACGCTTATTTTAGCTTGCAAGTTATCAAAATCACAATCAGTGGTTTCAAGACTCATGAAACATTTATGAATGATTGCATTTTACAATCAGTCATTTATAAATGTTTCATCAGTCTTCGAATTACTGACTGGTTTAAAGGCATTAAAAACTTTGATTTGCATAACATATAGAAAAGTAAAACAGAAAATGCACGAGGTGAATTGGAAGCTGTGGTATGTGGACCTAGGAGAAGAGTTAAGTTATATTAAAACCAGTGGACATGATATCAAATGTGCAGTTGCCAGGAGAAACACATTTTCTAATAGTTTCTTTTTACTCCGCAAAATATTGTTCAAATTATGTTCATTTGTTAAAGAAGTGTCGTAAGTCTGCACATTTATGTGTAACTTATATAGTAGCACGGACTTCTATTTTATTTTTTGGGGGGGGATTCCGGTCATTGTACATACTGTGTTTTGTAAAATTATTCCCTTTCACTGCACTCTGAATATGCAAACTATATGTTTGGGCGTCTAAATAAGAATGAGGGAAACGTTTGGGCACCCATCATAACACGGGAGTTCTCCAGGCGTGTTTTTACGATAAATTAAATAACTAGACAGAAATAGAAAAAAAAAATCTAACTAGTAAAGAAATACTGTTTGGTAGATGTAAAGCGCAAAAAAAAAATGCAGACTCTCATTCGAGTTACCGTTTTCCATTCTTTTTAAGCTCAGCGTATCAAGCGACATAGTCGGTAACTTGTCATCACTCGTCAACGAAGCGGACATCTCCATTTTGTCCGAAAAGTCTCCAGGGGTAAGCGGAACCCGAACTTTAACAGTCACTTTCATGACAACGGGTTTCCGACGTACTTAATAGGGGAGCATATTGAAATCCTTTTTCTATATGTATGTTTGTTGGGATAAGCCGGAACCGGTGCAGTACTGGTAGATCTCGATTAGCGCGCTGCATCTGGACGTGACAGAACAACGTGCACTTGGTTACATTGAAGGTAATTTTTATTATGTACTACTGCAAAATAGCCCAAAATATCCCTTCCAACTTTTGTCTAAGCATTGGGGAAGTTAACCCGAAAGAGTGTTCTTGAAATGAGGGAGAGATAAATCATAAAAATAAAAACAAAGATTAGTCTAGGCTGACACTCCGTGTTGGCTCATGTTTGCGTGCGAGGGGAAGAGCTGACTAAAGGCTAAAATAAAATACATACGGAAGAGATATAACACAATACATAATACAAAACACCACGCGCGCACACACACACAACTATATATGGATAAGTTGTTATATTAATGGGGGAGAAAAACTTAGCTACTTAGCCGAAGAAACGCAAGGAAGTTTGTTATAAAGGCACTGGCTATGCGAAATATATAATTTTATTGCACCAAGCCACTGGAAATGATCACTAAACGTCATCGCCAAATTTAAAATAGAAATGGGGTAATTGCTAACAAAATATGAAAAATTATGGGCCATTGTACTCTGTGAAGGTGAATGACCAGCGACGTTGCTTAGCTCACGACACAGATCCGCCACGAAGAGCCAGAGGAAACTAGACACGCGCGACGGGACCGCCACCCCGGGAGAACGGAAGGAAAAGAAACTAGGCATGCAAGCGCTTGGAACGACGGCAGACTTAGGGCGGTGCGAGCGTAGACATGGCCGACGTGGGTCGCAGAGCGGCAAATCTTTTAGAAACCTTTATTATCTACCTGAGGGCTACTCATATTGAAAAAGGTGCCTATTAATAACTAATCTACTTAATAGACCTAATGTGAAATTACCCAAGCATCAAAGAGGATCCAGGGAATGCTGTTCCACGTGCCGCACGATCCGGCGTCTGCAGCAGTAACAGTTCTAAAGCAAAAGCCTAAAACAAATGGCACCTTGCACGCGCGTTTGTCGAAGCTTTGTTTTGGTCATTTACTTCGAATTTTTATCCGGCGAAATCGTGCGCGTGCGACATGTGTGGCGGTGAGAGCGTAGAGTTTTTCCTCACGCATACGAAAACTCCAAGGAACCCTAGCCATAAACAGCTTGGCTGTAGAACTGGATTTTTTCTTTGTTCCTGCGCATATGACCCTTCCTGCTATTTCTTGCTTCTTTAAAACGGAAAATTTGAAACACGATCACTTGCGCGCTTCAAATTCTCACGTCGTCTACGTCTCCCGTTCCGTCGGAAATAATAATTAGCATTTCAATCAAACGTCATTTCATGGCACCAAACATAACTCGACCGAGCACTCGGCAATACATTCATCGAAGAGTGAAGGTCAGTTGCCACGAAAAAAATCATCAGCAGAGACACCGCCGATTTCTATGTCACTCGTAAAAAGCGCGCAGATGATGGAAAACTTATATGTCTGCCATTTGCGGGCTTTGTTTATGAAATTTCTTAAAACCAAATAGCGGCTTGATTTATTCATGATGACTTACAAAAACTGTTTAATAAATGTCAATAATGAATATCAAAGATATGTAACTTGCGAGTCGTGTGAATTCCTTCTCCATCTACATCATTTTAAGGCAGAAAAAAAAAGCACGCGTTCGCGCGCAATAGTTTTTCCTTCTTTTTGCGGGTTGCTTCAATCTTTTGTAACATCATCGTGTTAGGCTTGAAGGCATAAAAATAGTTAAACATCGAGTGTTCAGTACCTTTTTAAAAATGGCGAGCATGTGGGTAGTAATCCCACTCCCACAAAAATAGAGCCAGTTATGGCCTACCTGCTATAAAATGCAGACGTCTCACAGTTGAAACCTATTCATGCATACACGGTGTCACCTTGCTCATGTTAGATTGTAAAGGCTACCGTAGCTTCCGCAGAGCTGAAGCCCTGGACTACTACCAAAACAAGTGGCGCCATCTTCCGTGGTCCTTGGCTTACCTGATCTGTAATGTTTTCTCCACGCTATACGAAAGTTCTACCTACGGACATGTTGAAGCACCTGAGGCGAGCTCTCGACGTTGGGAAACAACCAGTCAGGTCGCTCGAAGAATCTAACATATAGATGCGGATTCACAGCACTGCTTTGGAGAGAGTCGCTGGATGCGTCTACAATTTCATATCTGTCGTAAATCTCAAGTACCCGTCGAAAAGATGGACTATGGACCATATATGCTTGGGACATAGCTGTAATAATATTGTAGAACGACATGTCACGTGAAAAGTGTTACATCGACTTTTTTGCGCTAAATTTAGAGGAAAAGTTTTTCAGCTGAATTTTGTGCGACGTCAAGTGAATGAATGTCACGTGACACATGACACACGTGTGACGTCACGAGGGTAAATCTTTCACACAAATGTTTGCGGGGAATTTTCTGTTAAATTTAGCTGGGAAGTTTTCCCGCTAAATTGAACAGAAACATTTTCCCGCTAGATTTAGCGTAAAAATTTCCCGGGTAGAGTGGCGTCACGTGTGACGTCACGAGGGTAAAAGTTCCCCGCTAAATTTAGCGGAAAAAATTCTCGCCTCATTTATCGGAAAACTTTTACCCTCGCGACGTCGCACGTGTCGTCACGTGTGACGTCATTATAGGAAACGTCCCATAACGCAACGCGCGTTTGAGCAGACGGCGACGGCGACGGCGACGCCGCTCAACCCGGAAACGGGCGCCTAAGAGCCGTGATCTAAAAGGATTTCACAGATTTCTCGCTTACCGCCTCTCATGAGGGCGCAAATATAGTTTATCCTTGGTGACTCCATGGTTAACGCAGATACATAAGCGTATCACATCTTCCACACAGCTTGTCACGTTTTGATGGGTCCTTGACTTTGTTCGAAGGAACTCATTGACTCCCTGCCGCCTGTGTTGGTTGCCGAGTTTGTGAAGGTCCGCTGCAGTTCCTTCACGCAGGTTTCCCGAAGCGTAAGGACAGCCTCGCAGTTATGAAACCAGTGCCTCGCCGTACCTTCCAGTAAACACTAGACGACCTAGAGGTGCTATGCTTCGTAACGAGCCACACGTTCATAAGGGTGAAGACCGTCCTCAACATCGTCGTTGACATCGCCAGGGACTAGAGTTGGCTTGCGAGGCCCAACAGGCAAGGTCAGGACAGGTCACCCTCCAAAAGGAATTTCGGGCCGCGGAACATAGAATTTCATTGACCTCTTTATTTTCTGCTCGGTCTTGTCTGGCAGAAAATTAAATTCAAGAGGTTGCTTCTCGACAAGGTGGCGGAATCGGATTTAAATGACGAGTTTTCCCATGGTGTGGTTCATGCGCTACGTGCGCCCCACAAATCTACTGCTGATGTCATCCGTGACAAATGAAGAAGTTGCAGAAGACGTAAGGAAACTGAAGAATTAATGCGGCGATCAAGCTTCTACGTGTCAATATAGAATACAATCACTCTCGCCAATTTCAGCACAACATGGGAACCGAGCACTAACGTGTAACAGCCCTACTGAAAAAAAAAAGAAATTCAAACGGGTGGCAAACTGGTCTATCTGTTTGGATCAAACGTGACCATGGGATACGGGTACCCGTTTGAAACGGCACCCGTTTGATACGGGTGCTCGTTCGACACAGGTGCCGGTTCAACGAGCCACGTGACCACAGATTTGAACGACCACTCGGATAGGCAAGTTATTTGCTAGCCCTAAATCAGTAACACTCGGAAGGTTGGTTATCAAACTTATTTAAGACATCCCGAAACTCATAAGCGTAATTATAACAAGGAGGAAACGCGTACAAGGAGTGTGCTCGCCCAGGTGCTTGCAAATGGGCAGGAAAACAGACACAAACAATTTTTTTAAATTCTCATAAAAGTTTATTACAGCCTATTCCGTAGACAAGTACAAACATACAAGCGATCTGTGAAATGTAAAGAGGCACTCTAAGCTTTCATACTACTGAGAAGATTGCAAAGCAAACAAGAACAGAAGTTCTTGTTTGCCCTGCAGCGCCGCGGCTTTCCGCCTCTTTGCGGAAAGCCGCGGCGCTCCCGCGGCTTTCCGCAAAGAGGCTGCCACGGCTGAAATAGGCGTGCCCATGCCGCCTATCGGTACGTTCAGTATCAAACGGGCTCCGGAGAGCCGTTTGATTAAACCGGAACAGTTTGCCGGTTACCGAGCACCCGTCTGTGCAACATGGTCGCCGGTTTGAGCAAACGTGCGACAACTTTGCTCAAACAAGTGGCCCATTTGATCAGACGAGTGACCTGTTTGCCAAAGGAGTGACCTGTTTGTCCAAATAGGTGACCGTTATGGCTCATACTGGGTACCCCTTTGAGCCATACGGGCGACCCCTTTCCCAAACTGCTGACCGGGATAGTTAAACTGTTACCGGTATGAACCCGTTTACTTTTACATAGGCACCAAATATATTTTTTTTTTCAGTAGGGTGACTTTATTCCGTTGGCTGCGGCAGCTTTCATACCCGCTCTGTGTTCTCGAATGCACCAAAGAAAAACACACAATATCTGTCAAGAGTACACGAGAACGTTCCAGTAAAGCAACGGATTGTAATTTAAAAAAAAGAAAGAAAAACACTGGGTCAACAGGTTCCAAACCTGGTTCTTCCGGGTGGGACCCGCGTGCGCTGCCAACTAGGCTACGCGCATAGCTATGTATCGTGGAAAATATTCGTTTTCATTCCGAATTATTATCTTATCCGAAACTCAATTATATACGTTTGTTGCATTTGTTTTTTGTTCCGTTTGAAGGCAATTTTATAGAATTGTGGAGTTTTCTGGAATTTTGAATGCAAAAAATGTGACCCACTGTGATCATTAGTTTGTCCTGGAACATGAAAGTAATAAAATAATATTTCTATAGTTACGTGATGAACTCCGCAAGACACTTTTAGAAGACGTTACAAAATTATTTCTGAACACCGGCGTTAACAAAACAGTTTGCCTGACAAACCTTAGAAATAGCAGAAGGGGTCAAAGCTCCCACTCAAAGTACAATTAACTGCATTTCTATTGTCACTGTCATATACTCCTATGGCCTAACCTTTTTCATAAATCTTGATATCAGTTTGCAGAATGATAATCCTCCTTGTGTTTTCTTTTTCATAATGGCATTCCAGATTAAATGGCTGCAAATACTCAATAATATGTTTTCAGACGCCAATATAACCCTTGACAACTGTGAACGAGTAATTTTGTCGCATCCACCCTATATTTATGGTATCGAGAAAATTCTGAAGAACACAAGTTTGTAAGTTACTGCATTTCCATAAACATTTCCCGCGCCACGAATATCAAGGACAAAATTTAGATACTTAGAAATAAAAACAATGTGACGGGTAATAGTATACCTCATTTTGCGTTACCCTCTGAGGCATATAGGTGACAATACATTAGCCACGTCACCTTTCCTGATGGCATGACAATTACAAGAGTTCATACCCATGTTGAATTAACCTGAGACTGTGCTAGAGAAGAAACATCAAAACGTAGAAGGGACAGAAAATAGACAGGACGACGTCTGGAAAATAGACAGGACGACAGGAGACGTCGTCCTGTCTATTTTCTGTCCCTTCTACGTTTTGATGTTTCTTCTCTACCCCAGTCTCAGGTTAATTCAACGTGGTTAATATTCACCAGCTCGCCTGCACCCTTACGATTTTTTCTACAAGAGTTTGTGTTTTCCACAGAGGAGGCGTTTTTGAAAAAATCATAGCTATAGGCCTATATATGTGCTTATTTCGTTTTCATAAGTTTTATTACATGTGACAAAAACGCTTCAGCACGCTTTTCAATAAGAGATGTTTTTGTAATAAACCAATATGTTTTTCAAAACAGAAAAAAAGGTCAACCGAAATTGCGTTATTTATTATCGAAGTAAATATAATGAATCAGTTTGAAAATAAACAAATTACCAATGAAACTAGAATATTTCTTGATTTTAAAAAAGCGTTTGATTCTGTAGCGGACAAGCAAACTGTGGTGGTAGAGAAAGAAGAAGCGACACGCGGGCAAGGCGGTTCGAGACAGAACACACCAACGGGACAGGTCTGCGATGTATATTGGATGTAGATATTTCCTATTGTAAATAGTCTCCGCTGTAAATAAATTGAAGAGACCTTTGGTTACTTCAAGTGGTGACCCGGATCACGCCCGACTGACCAGCTTATGGCAACCTCTGAAGACCATCCACCGTCTGACCTTGCTGCCCTTCATTAACTACGCCTTCCGAAATTCTAGTCCTCTGATCCTCAAGTATGGTTCGCGCAAGTAGAGAGCCAGTTTATCAACAGCAAGGTTATTTCTCAAGCGCAAAAGTTCCATCACGTCGTGGCCGCATTACCGCCCGAAACCGCCATGGAAATACGAGACATCATCCTCGACCCGCCTACTGTCTCTCCCTACGACGTTCTGAAAGTAGAACTTGTGAAAAGGACTTCAGAGTCAGAACGACGTCGACTCCAGCAACTTATATCGTCGGAAGAGTTGGGAGACAGAAAACCTTCCCAACTACTTAGGCGCCTTCAACAACTTCTGGGCGCGAAGGCTCCAACCTTCGACACAGCTGTCCTACGAGAGTTGTTTCTTCAACGGCTACCCGTCAATGTACGGATGATCCTCGCTTCTGCATCTGGGCTGGTTTTACCCGAACTTGCCCTACTGGCAGATGCTGTCATGGACGTATGGACGTCTCGACTCCAACGTCCAGACAGGTCGCCGTTCTTCAAGATCAGCGGCCACACCTCTCGGAAGCGGCGCCTTGCGATACACCTTCCACGCTCAAAGACATACGAGTGGAGTTCCATCGAGAGATGCAAAACCTCTCAGTGCGGATATCAGCCATCGCAACCCGCTCTACTTCACCACACAAGTGACGCCTTTCAACTCGTCCTCGCCACGGGTCACCGGCCGCAACCCGGGCGAAACCACCGGAGACTAGGCTTTGTTGGTACCACCGAACCTTCGGAGAAGACGCCCGCAACTGCGTCTTCCCCTGCTCAGCCTCGGGAAATGCGTCAACCCACCACTAGGGGCGGCGAGTGGTGCCGGTAACCACCCTGGCCACTTGTTCTTTATAACTGATCGTGACTCTGGTTTCCGTTTCCTTGTCGACACCGGCGCAGAGGTAAGCGTCTTACCCAGCTCTGGTGTCGCTAAAAGATCCAAGCAAACGCCTTCCATACTACAAGCCGCAAATAAGACGCCCATCGCAACTTACGACGAACAGACCATGACTCTTAACATCGGGCTATGAAGAGTTCTCCGATGGATCTTTTTAGTTGCGGACGTCTCGTATCCAATTCTCGGCGCCGATTTTCTTCGCCATTACAACCTGATGGTTGATATGCAGCGCAAACGACTAATAGATGCTACAACAAATCTGGTAGTGCAGGGAATCGCGTGCACCACTCCCATCATTGAATGTGTGGGATGCTTGACCCCTCAGTCTCCCTAGCAAAAGCTACTTCAAGAATTTCCAAGCTTAACCCACCCAAGCAATTTCCAACGTCCTGTTAAACACGATATCACCCACCACATTGTGACGACTGGACCACCCACCCATGCACGTGCACAACGACTGGCACCAGATCGTCTGAAGGTCTGGCGGGAGCTCGAGCATGTGCTCGAACTCCCGCCAGGAGTTCGAGCACATGCTCGAGATGGGAATCATTCTCCCGTCCTCAAGTCCCTGGGCGTCACCACTCCATATGGTGCCGAAAAAAGAGCCTAGAGACTGGAGACCCTGCGGCGACTACCGGGCACTCAACAACGCTACAGTCCCCGACCGCTACCCGTTACCGTACATAGCGGACTTTACAAGCTCCCTGCATGGCGCAACAATATTCTCAAAGATAGACTTGGTGAAAGCCTATCACCAAATACCTGTCGAGCCGTCCGACATCCCAAAGACTGCAATTATTACGCCGTTTGGTTTGTATGAATATCTGCGCATGCCGTTCGGCCTCCGGAACGCAGCGCAGACATTCCAACCATTTGTCAACCATGTAACCCAAGGACTTGCTTTCTGTTACGCCTACGTACCTGCTCGTTTCTAGCTCCAGTGAAGAGCAACACCGCGAACATCTTAGACTTCTCTTTGAACGCCTAGAGGAATACGGCTTGATCGTCAACAACGCTAAATGCGAGTTTGGCGTAACGGAATTAACTTTCCTCGCTCACCAAGTCGATCAACGCGGACTTCGTTCGCTCCCTGAAAAAGTAAAAGTTGTTCGAAACTTTTCACGCCCCTCCACAGTTCGTTAACTTCGGGAGTTTTTGGGATTGATCAACTTCTATCGCCGCTTCATTCCGAATTGCGCCTCAACCTTGCTGCCTCTTACGGACTTTCTGAAAGGCGCCAAGCGTGACTCCACACCACTTACGTGGTCTGAAACAGCCTTCCATGCATTTTCTTGCATTGAACATCATCTGGCCAACGCGGCTCTTCTCACCCATCCACAAAACAATGCACCCATCAACATAATGGTAGACGCATCAAACGCCGCAATAGGCGCAGTTCTGCAACAAAATTTTCATAATGCATGGAAACCAATCTCTTTCTTTTCAAGGAAACTCACACCAACAGAGTGTCGGTATAGCACGTTTGGCCGCGAGCTCCTCGCAATCCACCAAGCTATCAAACACTTCCGGCATTTCTTGGACGGTCGAGATGTCTACGTGCTTACCGACCACAAGCCACTCACCTTTGCGCTCAAGTCTGCCAGTGACAAATTCACCCCCCGCGAGATACGCCAGATGGCGTATTTCTCCGAGTTCACGACGGACATTCCCCATGTAAAAGGTACCCACAATGCTCCTGCTGACGCGCTGTCACGCATCACGACATCTCCTTGCTCCTCGATCATACCAACAGCTATCGATTTTCAAGCTATGGCGATCGCTCAGAAAGACGACAGGGAAATTCGAGAGCTCCAAGCCTCACATCCACGCCTAAAATTTATATCTATTTCCCTTCCACTGTGTGACACGCCTATTATTTGCGACTGCTCAACACCTGTACCGCGGCCCTTCGTACTCAAGGCGTTTCGGCGTCAAGCTTTCGAGTCCCTCCATTCACTGGCACACCCGGGAATTCGAGCGAGACAACGCCTCCTAACGCAGCGGTTTGTGTGGCCAGGGATCAATAAGGACGTCCGACACTGGGCACGAACTTGCCTTAGCTGTCAAAGGGCCGAAATCCATCGGCGCACATCGGCGCCCGCCGTGACCTTTCCATTGCCGACTGCTCGTTTCGATTTCGTTCGTTTGGACATCGTAGGCCCACTTCCACCATCTGACGGTCACAAATGCATATTAACATGTATTGACAGATTTACCCGCTGGCCGGAAGCGATACCCATGCCAGACATCACTGCTCGAACGATAGCGAAGACTTTTGTGGCTGGTTGGATAGCCCGCTTTGGGGTACCGTCATCGGTGACTACCGATAGAGGCAGACAGTTTGAATCCGCATTGTTTCGTGAACTTTCGGAACTTCTCGGGACCACACGAATTCGAACGACTGCATACCACCCCATAAGCAACGGCATCGTCGAACGCTTTCACCGAACCCTTAAAGCTTCACTGAAAGCTCAGGAGAATCGCGTCCACTGGAGCACACTACTTCCCATGGTACTTCTTGGGCTCCGTGCGACACATAAAACGGACATCAACTGCACCCCGGCTGAACTTGTCTATAGAGGACAGCTTCGCCTTCCAGGAGAATTTTTCAACTGCACCCACAAATATCCGGAAGGTGATCCTACCGACTATGTGACCAAACTTCGAGCCGCCATGCGTGCTCTTCAGCCGGTAGCCCCGCGGGTGAAACGACCTAAACAATCGTACGTTCCTGACGACCTCACCACTTCCACCCACGTATTTGTTCTTCACAACGCAGTTCGAAAGCAATTCGAGTCTCCGTATGATGGTCCTTTCCGCGTCATTGACCGTCACGACAAGTATTTCCGCCTTGACATCAATGGACGCAACGAAACCGTGTCAGTAGATAGGCTGAAACCTGCATTCATAGACACGAGCCAGTGTATGCACCTGACTACACCGAACTGTTCTCCACACTCAAACAAACGACACTACTACCCTCATGTGAACACTGGCCGCCCCGCACATTACATTCCATGCGAACACTCTATGCTCCCGAGTCCTTTGCACCCGACATACCACGAAACCCCTCGAAAACGGCGACCGTCTGTTACATGGCACCCGACACTACTCACAGGGAGGTCCTAA